CGGCGACCTGTACGGACGCCCGTATAGCGCCTCGTATGGGGTCATGCCGATGCTTGCTTGGTAACTGTTGTTGTAAGCAAACTCTATCAGGGATAGGTGGTCGTCCCAATGGCCCCCGGAGTCAAGGACACAAGCTCGGAGCATATCCTCCAGCGTACAAATTGTCCTCTCTGATTGTCCATCGGTTTGGGGGTGGAAAGCAGTACTAAGAGACAGCTTTGTTCCCATAGCTTGCTGGAAACTATTCCAAAACCGAGAAGTGAATCTGGGATCCCTATCGGATACCACTGTTACTGGAACTCCATGTAGTCTGACTACCTCCCGGATATACATTCTTGCCAACTTGTCCAAGGGATCAGTCATTCTGATGGCCAGGAAGTGGGAAGACTTAGTGAGTCGGTCAACAATTACCCATATAGCATCATGTCCCGATCGTGCCTTGGGTAGTCCCGATACGAAGTCCATGGTGATATGTTCCCACTTCCACTCTGGAATCGGTAAAGGCTGAAGTAACCCGCCCGGGCGTTGATGTTCTGCTTTGACCTGCTGACATACCAAGCACTTAGATACAAAGTCGGCTATATCTCTCTTCATCCCATTCCACTAGAACCGAGGTCGCATAGTTTGGTACATTTTCGTACTTCCTGGATACATGGTGAACCTTGAACTATGGGACTCTGTCATGATGTCTCTTCTTAACTCACTGTCGTCTGGGACACACACTCTGTCCCTGAAACGAATCAATCCGTCGGTGGAGATCTGAAATTCTGAGCTCACTCCCTGTTCTGCACTCTTCTTGCGGGTTACTAGGGCGGGGTCGACTGACTGAGCTTCCTTTATTCTTTGGATTAACTCGGGTTGGACTGCTAGGTGGCCCAAACATGTGACTCTCTTCAGGTCTCGCAGGCGAACCTGCTGTGTAGCCCCAATGGACCTACATTCTGAAACCATCAGATGGGCTAGGGTGCCTGCACTTTTCCTACTGAGGGCATCGGCCACTACGTTGCCCTTACCTAGATGGTATAGGATGTCACAATCATAGTCCTTGAGGAGTTCCATCCACCTCCTCTGACGCATGTTGAGATCCTTCTGGGTGAAGATATGCTTCAAACTCTTATGATCGGTGTAGATCTGAAAGGTCTCTCCATACAAATAATGGCGCCAGGTTTTCAAGGCGTGTATGATGGCGGCAAGCTCCAAGTCATGGGTAGGATAGTTCTTCTCATGATTCTTTAGCTGTCTAGACCCATATGCTATAACCTTTCCATGCTGCATTAGGACACAACCCAGGCCCAGATAGGAGGCATCACTATAAACTGTGTACCCTCCTGATCCACTCGGTAGAGCCAGCACTGGTGCAGTAGTCAGTCGCTTCTTCAACTCTGAAAAACTCCTCTCGCAGTTCTCATTCCATTCAAACCTTGCATTCTTCTTTGTGAGTCGGGTTAGAGGAGCTGCTAGACTATAGAATCCTTCGACAAACCGGCGGTAATAACCTGTCATCCCTAAGAAACTGCGAATTTCCTTAACTGTTGTC